TACTTTCTAGTCCTCATCATTATTACGCATAAGCTGAAGGTAGGAAATGCACCAGCCATTGTGCCGCAATACAGAATGATAAGATATGAAAAAAGCGAGGCACAAAGCATTACGAAATTCAACATAAATATGATGCTTAGTATCAGATTACGCTCGGCTGTGCGATCATGGTTGAACAGGGAAGATAAGCGAAATGGGGAGGCCAGATGAACCGGTGGTTTAATTGTAACTGTACGAAAACAGCTGTTCACACAGTCCTTTTTGCAATGTGGAGCGAGAGTCCAACAAGCCTCTGTATTACCAGTCTTTACCACTCCACATTAACTGAGGGGTGTTTCTCACCCTCGACTAACGTGTATGATGATGATGATGAGACTCTAACAAGCTGTTGGCAGAACTGAATGCGTAACAATGCAGTTCGTCCTGCGATGCCTGTAGAATTATGCTCGTCTTCCTGCACACTGCATGTGGGTCCTGCACACACACGAAACTCGGCATGTATTCGTTACAAACATTGCGCTTAACTGAGGGATATTCCCATTTGGCCGGTCATTGCAGTTGTGCAATGGTGTATGAAGACACTAATGAGCTGAGTCGATTTGGCTCTTTTCCTCTTCCTGGACAGTGTTTATACACGTTAGCGGTTGTGGCTCAGTTAGGGAATCGATGGTGATTTGTTATTTATTCCCCTTCGCATTTTCAGCTGTTAAATATTCCGCCAGACAATCTCACTTCTTATCACCAACACCGGTATTAGTATTGTTTCAGTATAGAGTGCGTCAAGGCAGTCGAATCCGTCGCATCTCGATGCCGGGGATCACAGCCGCCGACAAACGGAACTGGGCTGATTTGTATGCGCCTTTTTGCCGCTAACAAGCGCTCTTTCCAACGCGACCGAGTCGAGTTTGTATATCAGACTTGCACGGTTCACTTAGAGAATCGCACGGTTGCTTGCCTGTAACGACTTTTTCACGCTCGATTCGCTTCGCGCCATCAGGCGTGACTGACTGAGCGTGCAACTAATGACTCCCAAAGAAGCACAGAATAATTATACAGACCAGTTAATCACCGTTGTTGATTTCCCAGTGAGCATGCGCACACGGGAAAGTGAAGGCCAGAATGTTCGTCGTTCATAAATGCTTATTTTTAGTCAACAACGGAACTCGCTCTTGTGTTTCATGGTCAGTCGGTCGAAAAACTGGATGGTTGTCAGTATGCAGCACCAGGTATGTTTTACAGTGAAATGTAACCTCAGATTTTCCAATCCGATCAACTGTTCTGCGGAACTCCATAGTGGGAGTATTGAGTGTTTAAATACAACAACTGATCTATTTTGTATCTTGTTGGTTCAATCTGTTACAAAGCGCGACTTTTTGTGTGGGACGTGAGTTTCCACGGCAAGTTTTCGGATTGAGAAATAAAACAGCGTTCTTGTTTTTTTAAATATGTCTCACGCATTTGAGGAGACTACACCGCAACTGCGTATGTTTGCGTTGTAGTCATTCCTGCTATCGTGGGTATGGATAGACCGCAACTGCGTAAAACGGAAGAACCAGCGAAATACGTACGGGTCGGTTTTTTCTCTAATACTCGTATAAGTGCACTTCGTTACGTGCTGTGAAATCATCTGAGCGGTTTATTAACGAGTTCGACATGTACTCCCTTCGCTGCTGTGTAGAGTGAATTAGAAAACGTCTCGGAGGGTGTTTGGATGCGTGTCAAAACATTGAAAATAGAATCTTCTAATGCTGGATGCTCGTTGAAGTAAGAGGATTGGGGGGCCTGGAATGCAACGAAGAACTTGAAGAACTTGCGTATAGTCGCACGTGTTTCAGTTTTTCTAGGTCACACTATCATCTGATTAGACGATATGAGAGAAGTGCTGTGACGCAACCACCATGGACTCCTGGTTAACTCCGGACCAATGTTCCTTTACTGGCCAGCAGACACCTGCGACAATAAAGAAGGAATGGATACTTGAATGTATGTAGCAGGACCGATTAGCGGTGTTATTCCCTTGCCTTCCATGCGTTTTCGATTCCCTGCTTTGATATGTGATCCTTGCGACCGAACCTCAAGGTGGCCGGCTAGCAAATCAGGCTGGCTAGCCGATCACCCTCCACTTGGTGCTAGCTGGGTGCTTCTGTTTAATCCCGCTCCAGCTAGTGGTTCGGCGGCAGTATTCCAGGACGTGGTGGGTTACCGCTTGGTAAGCGCTCTCCCTATGACAAGCCACAAATGTCTGCTTAACAACACTGTAACTTGGCGGATGTGACTCGCCACTAAATAAACTCACTGCCACTTGCCTTACCGATGGATCGTGTCCATTTCATGATCGTCAACGACTTCGAGGATTGCATCTGATCCCTTCCTATTTTGGTGAATACACCGAACAAACTCACCAATTCACAGTAATAGTAACAAACTCACTCAACATGATGCCTTACACATGCAAACTGATACATACTACACATACATGCACACATATCCTGGATGTATCGGTTAATTTGTAACATTTCTGTATTACCATGATCCTGTGTTAACTTATTGCTTTATATTTCCTACTTCAATATACGATACGGCTCACGGCTTCCGCCTAAGAGCATCACCACGCGGAAAGGCGTCACTGCTAAGAATGGAGCACAAGGTCAACTTGATGCCAGGCAGACATAGACCTCGTGTGCCTTCTGTGAACCTTCAATGACTACATGTATTTAACACTAAACAAATAGCCCACAGCAGACTTAAAATTTGATGAGTCTATCGGTTTAGTGGGTCAACTAGCGCTTGTGTGTGTGCGTTGAACAACTAAGCTCCGAGCACCGAGGTGCAGTGGATCCACTTTTCTCGACTCACATCGCACGTGTAACCATAACTAATACCCTAAAGATAGTGGGGTTGCATGTAAATATAATGTAAAGAAAATGGAAGCAAGGAGGAAATGCATTAAATTAATCAAAATAGGACGATCATTAACAATCAGATGCAAGAAACCGAATGCAGGTACGCCACTAACTGTGTGACTGTTATATCTGACATGGTCTCCAATTATTGGTGTGGATCATCCGGAGGCCCACCTCCAGGAAGATTGGGCACAAACGAGTCTGACCAATTCTCTCAGCCAATTTCTTCATGCGTCTATGCCACTTCATGGACTGGCCACTTCGCGGTTTCACCCATCTTGGTACAACCACTGCGTATAATACACGCCGAGGAAGCCAGTCAACGAGCATACAGAGGACATGACCTAAGCAACGTAAGCGATTACGATTCAGTAAACATTCGAGTGAGGAACCAGAAGGCTTCTTGCCGACAACCAACTCGCATTGCTCACGCGGTGTTCCCATCAGACGTGAGCAATACTCTTCAAACCCCGGTGGTTAAGCAACGCCCAGTTAGCGCTTACGACCAAGAAACGTAGTGACGTGCGTTCATGGTTTTACTGGAGACCACCTAGCACTACACTCAGAAGATCATGAACATATCGTCAGCGTCCGACGATGTAATGGTGGTTTTCACATTGTGTATGATCTTCACTGTATTCGGTCTATTTCCCACTTTTTGACTAGCAATACTGCGTATGGTATTGACGTTTCAATTCATACTTTATACATCTTTTAGTCTCTTTTGATAGCTGTGTTTCTCACCCCGATTAAAGTTATTCAATGAGATGTGTCATAACTAGTTATGTATTATAGTCCACGCCGAGTACCATATGTCACAATTTACACTGAAATAACAGCGAAGAGTGAAGCATAGAGTAGGTACTCTTTTGTCCTTTCTACTTAGGTGCCTTTGTTTTACATAGGCCCATGGTAGGTCACTGTACCTAGCACCACGAAAGAGGAAGCGACTTTCGGTGCCCTCGTAGCTATGATCCCATGTGCACACCGTCAGCTGTTCAACCGAATAGAAGTAATGAATGAAATCAGTGATAAAGCATATGAAACCAGTTATGGATAGCTACCAGTACTTATTCGCACCAATGTAGCGAAATAACACATTAGCTGAGCCAGTGCAGTTGCTGCGGCAACCGGACATTATGGACATTTACTTTCTATAGCTGGTCCAATCGATGGCAGCCAACAATAAATGATCTTACTGACATTTACTCCAAGTGCGGTGTACTGCCGTATTGGCCCGTAGTTTTAAGGATCATAAGCCTGTCTTGTAATCCGAAGGCGTGGGTTCCAGTCTGCGTAGGGATCGGACGACTCGTAGTATCCTTAGCCCACCTGCGACTGGTGTTTGTTGCGTGGTATCGAAGTGTCGGTACTGCGTACCGGCGTATGATGATGATGATAATGCTGAGAATGTGCACGGTCATTGTGACCGTGGAGTAAACCGCCCCCAACACTTTGGGGGTCATTCAAGTTCAGGAAAAGGCTTTATAAGTCATAAGATCTGCGTTTTTCCTAACCAGCACGGTCTCCTTTGTGAGGCATAGCGTCCGGCTTTTCTGGACATCGTCATGAATTGGAGCGCTTTTTCGGATTCCTTTGCACACAATTAATGATGGTTCTTGTCAAATTGATGTGAGATGCCTGCTAAGCACTCTTGCTTGACTTCGAGATTCTCCTTGATCCGAAGTCCTCTATACTTGAGACCTACAGATGTTTCGGCGCGCATGTTGGTGTTGATGCGATTCTCCTGCATGATCCACAATATTGGGTGTCGCGTTCTGGACTTCTCATCATCCTTACGTAGCTTTTGGATTTGTCACGCGCTCCTGCATAATTCACTCCTTCTTGAGCAAGTGGTTCGTAGAGCAGCGCACCGATTATGCGGATCACAGCAAGCTGCCATTACGTGTTTACTCCTGTTTGCTTTCTTCTGCGTCTGTCCATATCGCATCTCTGCATTTTTCAACTGCTGTCTACACTATCTTCATTTTTGTTCTTATCCGAACCCATGAATTCGTCTCTTCTTTCAATCAATCTCCTTCTTACCCTAAGTATTAATGTGCTTTCACCTTTAGAGATCACCTCTCTCTTCTTTAGGGTGATCGAATGAACGATCAACGTGCCAGCCTCCCTGCTTTCCCCGGACTTCGAGCTGGCCGCAGTCTTCAATTGTTCGATGGTGGCTCTCTCGGCAACGTGCACGGAGCGATGTTAACATCCACTGGGAGTGGGGCGAGCGACGGTCTGCCAGAGCCGTCCAGCACTCGTTCACTCCGCACCCACGGTTTACGGGAGAACTCCACGGGGAATGAATCCACTAACAATCACGGAACAATACGCGAGCTGGACGATGAGTTCTTGGACATGATTTTGCACTTACAGGTGAATACATTTTGATATATCTACATGTACATTAGCGCTGCTTCCTGCTGTTTTCTTCCTTTCGTTTCATCGTTAGCTTTGTGGGGACATTGCATGTTGGATGATTGTCCGTTCATCGAGCGCTTCCTATTGCGATTGCTCGTAACTTCGTCGTCGTTCTTGACACGGATAGCTGATTTTACATCAAGCAGAATAACTGAATTTGTTCTCCAATGAGATGCCCTTATATACAACGTGTTCCTAAAGTGAGGACAGAATATTTGACTATTTTGCCTTACATTAAAACGAACTATAATATGCAAGCTTATTAACATCTTTTCCGCCTTCACAGTTTAAAAATGGGTTTGTCAGAGGCAGAACGAGTTGAGATGGTACTTCTCAGTGGACATGAAAGTGTTCATATGAAAAGCTAACCTCATTCGAGGAGAATTGAATTTGTTTTCTCAATGGTGTCCAAGTTGATTAGAAATTTATGGAACCAGGCTGCATCATGGATGAACCACGTCCAGCTTCGACCAAGTGTAAAGTCAAAATAAAGGACCTTAACACCAGAACACCGTACGATTTAATTCCATACAAATTTCTCCGCATATTGTCAGGTGCGTATTACAGAACACGCGCAAATTTATAGCATCACGTAAAGTTAGTACTCAATTTCCTTCAGTTACATCAGCTACAGCCCTAGTGATTGAATGGCCAAGGTTCACTACAATGGGAATCGCGGCCCACTTTGAGATTACGTGTCGCAAACCATCCACACAACGTGTGCTTCAAATTGACTTTCCAATCTGTCATTACCGTTGTGCCAAGCTTTGCCCGTCGTGAGCCGGTGGCTTATTGGTAGCGGTCACAACTAACATCCCAATGGTCCCGGGTTCGATGCCTGCTATATCTATCTGATGAGAGGAAATAATCTCGAAACGTGTCTTGGAGTGCAGTGGTTTCAGGCGGACAACACCCAATTTGCTGCTGCTTCATCAGCTACGGTCTTAGTGATCGAATGGCCAAGGTTCACTACAATGGGAATCGCGGTCCACTTTGAGATTGCGCGTCACAAACCATCCACACAACGTGTACTTCAAGTTGGCCGTCCAATAAAGTTAACACACACACACACACACACACACACACACACATGTTCTAATCAATTCACCATCTGTCTACCGGCTTACTACAGGTTGTGCCGCTGATTTTAAACGCCGTCGGAATATTTGACTTACATCATCTCCCCGTGGCGCAACCCATACTGGGATACACAACGACTCGCATTCTCACACCTTCGGTTAAACCACCGCCATTCACAAAGCGTTTACAAATTTGCATATAACTGCGTGACAGAGCACCAGTGCGGGTGACAATCGCGGAACAGATCCCATCGTGGGTCGGGAACGACGTTTCGGACCACGTTTGCTGCGCAGCCAAGGAACGCAAGCGGTCAGTCCTACAAGACACCTGCACCATTAATCGGCCGCCATCTGCTGACAGATTTATCGGAGGCCGCAGCATAAGAACGTGACGCGATTTCGAGATGCCTATCATCGGAACACGAGTTGCTACCCGACCGGCGGTATCAGGACTGAGTCACGCCGGAAGCTGATGAAATCAGTTATTCATCACCACACGGGTTGCTACACGACCTGCAGTAGCACGGTTAAGTCAGTCGGGAAACTGATGAAATCGGGCCGTCAACATGAAACTGGTTGCCACGGGAGATGCTGGATTGTACCCCATAAAAGAACCATGATCTGTGTCTAATATACTTCGGTCTAGCAGGTTCCGGTGTTCTGTTTTTTCCCCGGCTGGGTTGGCGTGGCAGAGAGTAGAAGGAAAGCAGCGTTACAACAGTGGCGATGCGAGTTTCAGTCGAACCCAGAAATGGCAGTCAGCTTCGAACAATTGCAGGCACTTCTGTAGCAACAAGTCAAGCTCATTGAGATGTTGATGCAGAAGCTGTCGATACAGGGATGTCAAGGTTTAGGGGTAAGTGAATGCGTCACCTATCCAGAAACCCTGTCTCAGCAGATCAGTGAATTCCATTATGATGCGGATGCTGGTGGGATATTGGCCTACTGCTTTCACAACTATGAGTGCATCTTTCATGTTGCTTTCGCTTATGTGCCAGAAGAAAAGAAAATTCGTCTGGTGCTCCGGAAGCTAGGTGCGGCTGAACATGAAAAGTTTACAAATTTTATCTTGCCAAACAAGTACACTGGTCTATCCTTTGACGAAGTTGTCTCAGTGTTGTCACTCATTTTTGGTGAGCAGACATTTTTGTTCAACGTCCGGTGCAAGTATCTCACCATGACCAAGAAGAAGTTTGGGTCATCTACTCAAGCTGCGTAATTTGGTGTGCGAACGTTCACAGTTTCACAAAATGACCGGCGACCAGTACAAGTGCCTTATTTGCATTTACGGCCTACAAGTAGCCAAAGATGCAGACATACGAACAAGAATACTGTGCAAGGTTGAACAGAATCTTGACATCAACTTGCAGCAAGGAACCTGTGACTGCCAGAGCATGACGAAGCTGAAACCTGATACATCAATGCTACAAACGAGCATGACCTCGTTTGTGCTGTCCACCGGACTCCCCGAAAAGTACCAACTCACGTGAGTCCATCACATCCCAAACTTCCCTCTGCTTGTTGGTTTTGTAGAGAATGGCATTTTGTTCGATACTGTCCATTTAAGAGTTACGTTTGCAACCGATGCGGCAGAAGAGGCCATAAAGAGCCTTGTTGTTTGGCACTTAGTCCTACTTTGTCCAGAAAGAAGCACAATAATGCCACACCGGTCAGAGGGCCTGGTGCGATCAAAATTAATGACGTCAACAGACAAAAGTACACCATGGTGGAAATCAATGGCAGGCAAGTCAACTTAAAACTTGATAAGGTTTCAGATGTCACTCTGGTCTCCAACGACACGTGGCGCAGGCTGGGGCGGCCGACACTCGTACAAACGATCCATACGGCACGGAATACTTCAGGTGGTACGTTAATATTGCTTGGTGAATTAAATTGTCAAGTCAATTTCCGAGGCCAACAAATCCACACAACGTGCTTTGTGATAGACCAACCGGGGTTAGATTTGTTGGGTCGCGCTTGGATGAATGAGTTGAACTTGCTCGACCAGTCGGTAAACAGTATATACCAACAGTTACAAGCCAAGCAAGCTACGCAGCTGCCAACGATGAACCCTGAATTGCGCAACAAAATTACAGATCTGAAGTGACACCATGAAACGTTCAAACCTGGTCTCGGATGCTGTCGCTTAGCCAGAGCGCAGCTGAACTTCAAATCGGATGCCAGACCAGTCTTCAGACCAAGACGTCGGGTGCCGTACGCAACTCAATCTTTAGTGGAAGTTGAGCTAGATAGTTTGAAATCCGACGGTATAATCGGACATATCTACGATTCAGAATGGTCGACATCGGTTGTGGTGGTAAAGAAAGCGATTGGTAAGGTCCGTATCTGTGTTGACTTTTTAACAGAACTGGATTCTGCGCTGGAGACGCATCAGTACCCATTGCTTGTACCAGAAGACTTTTCTCCAAACTCAACAGTGGCAAATGCTTCGCAAAACTTGACCTTGCTTACGCTTACTTGCAAGTTCTAGTTGCCGAGGAGTGCAGAACATTACTGACGGTTACTACGCACATCGGGCTTTTCTAGTACAACCGGCTACCATTTGGGGTGAAAACCGCACCGACCATTATCCAGCAAATTATGGATACCCTGCCGAACGTTATCCGCAATACCATAATCTACCTGGATAATGCACTGCTTATGGTCGCAGACCTGAAAGACTTGATGCACACACTGGAGAGTGCTTTTATGTTTTTAAGAAGCTGGATTTCGATTACAGGCTGAGAAATGTGTGTTTATGTTAGATAGTGATAGATTCCTCGGGTTTCTCATATACCAACAAGGCGGGCACCCAAATCCCACCAATATCAAAACTATCAAACGGATGGAGCCTCCGAAAGACGTCACCGAGCTTCGCTCATTCCTCGGTCTCATGAGCCATTACTGTTTTCCTACCAAGCTGTCATCAATCCAGAGGTCTGCTGAACCAGTTGCTGCCGGAAGTTAACGTTTGGCAATGGACGAGAGAATACCAGCAGTCCTTTGCCGCAGTTAAAACGGCATTCACTTCTGATCTACTATTGACTCATTTCAATCCGAACTTGGAAATCATCGTTGCCTGGGACGCTTTCAGTTACCTTATCGGCGCCGTTATTTCCCACCTTTTTCCGAACGGAGTAGATAAGGCCATTGCACACGCGGCGCGTTCCCTAATGTCAGCTGAGAATTGTAATCAGATTGCAAAGGAAGCACTGGCAATCTTTTTCACCATGAAGCGGTTCCACAAGTTGCTCTGTGGCAGGCATTTCACTCTCCTGATTGATCATTGCTGTCGATATTCGGGTCAAAGAAAGGAATTCCCGTTTTTACCGCAATTCGGTTACAAAAATGGGTGACTATACTGTTGGCGTACGATTTCAGTGTACGGTATCGACATACACAACAAATCGGCCAAGCGGATGCCCTGTCTCATCTCGTCAATTCGCACCCAAAGGGGAACGATGATTGTGTGATTGCGGCCATCAAGTTTGAGTCAGAAGTCCAGCGAATCCTGACCAATAATCTAAAAGGATTACCAGTGACAGCGGAGACTTCCCAAACAGAACTCTAGAGAAACTGATGCATTACGTGCTAACAACTTGGCCAAAAGGTGGTATCCCTGCTGTCTTGTTGCCTTTATTCAACCGACGTGGGCCACTGTCCGTTGTGGACATTTGTTTGGATTTTGAAGATCGATTTGTGATGCCAAAGAAATTGAATAGCCCACTTACAGCAGTTTCATACCTGGCATCCAGATATCAACCGTATGAAAGCCTTGGCACGCACTTTTGTTTATTGACCCGGAATGGATTCAGAAATTGAACCATTCTGCCAAAAATGCGAATCCTGTCAACTGGCGGCGAAGACCCTTCCCAA